CTTTAAATCAGAGCTAGATAAGATTTTAACAACTCTGAGCTATTAGTTAAGTTCTCCCCAAGCGAGCTCGATGGGCCGAATGGCCTCCTCTTGTTTGTATAGTTCTTATATTCTTATGTGTATGGACTGCTTAAGAAACAAGCACTCTATGAAGCTAAACAGCCACAAGGGTTTTGGCGTGACATGATATACCGCTGTCACGCCATGGGGCTGAATGCTGTAGCTTTGGCTGGCCTTGTTTAGGAACGTGACATGGATAAGGACCCCCACCTCGGCTCTGAGCACCGGGCCTGTGAGGGTGTCAGCGAAAGCCGGTTGCTATACTACTGGGAGCTGATCTCTAAAACATTTACTTCACAATTTCTGTGGCCCTCACTCACAATATATATATATATATAAATTAATTTAATTTATTTTTATATAGCGCCTTTCACAACAGAGTCATCCCAAGGCACTTTACATGGACGTGTGGGATATGATCCCACCAAAATTAAAACCAAAGCCCCAACTGTGGCTTCATACAAGCCAAGCCAGTTGAGTAGCTCGCTAGCAGATTGAAGCTCCACCCATTTGACCAAACCACTTCACTGATTCACTACCTGACTGACACAAACAACTCGTTCAAACCTCACAGATAATGTGTTTTTTCTTCCAGAATGAACCAAGCCTCTAAGCAGTCCTTCGTTGACAGAGACCATAATGAGTTTAACTCATAATTCGAGAATCAGTATCAGATTCTTGGTCTAGTTCTTTCCAACCTGTGTTTAGGCCCCTCCTGGTCCCTTTCGTTTTCTGTTTTTTTTCTGAGTTTAGTCTGCAATAAAAATCACCTTGTTTTTTGTAAGCTGCTCAGAGGACCATCATTCACCAAATCATTACATCCCCCTGTTTCCCCTTGCCCACCCCCCAACCACCCCCCAATGCCCCTCCTGAGAGAGTTTTCTGAAATAAACTGTTCAGCAGCTGTCTGCCCTCTGTCTCCCTCTTTCACTCACTACACTCCTTCTGCTTCTGAAATCATGGTTTTAGTTTCGGTTTCATTTTGCATTCAGAATTGGTGAAAGCCACCGACTGTTATTTACATGACAGATCTGTGCACTGGGGGATCAAACCACTTTTGCTTTAGAGGTGGGGGAGGGGGACAAGGAGGGGGGCATACAGGCAGGAAGCAGGCAGTTAAACAGATTAAAGGAAACAACAGGTGGATATTTATTCCTATAATAAAAGAATATCAAAATTATAAATCAAAATCAAATTATTTCCGAGGCTTTTTGAGGGTGCCCCACCCAGGCAGGGCCCTGCTTAGTCAGATCCACTATTATCCGTGGATGCCCCTGGGGAGCATAATGTGGTGGTTTAGTAGGTGACAACGACTTTAGGGATGTCTGGGATTACCAGAAACAAAATTTCACAGTAACAGCCCCCAGGGTTTAATTTACCTTCCCAAAACATGTACATATATTTTATGCCAGATTTGCTTAAAAGCACACAAATACTTCAACAAGTCACAAATGAATTGAGGTGAAATGACTTAGAAACAGAAAGAGCCCTACAGTCTTTCTGTGTTGTAAACTCATAACTCATCATCATCACCGAATGCTTGTTTTACTCCCTGCTGCTTTAACAGACTCAGACAGACACATGACTCAAACACTGGACAGATACTGTATGTCACACACATTGGGCAGATATGTCACACACACAAATACACACACACACACACATACTGGAAATTTTAAATGCAGAGCCATCCACACAGCTTATCTCTTGATGTCTATTGTTACTTTTATTGTTATTGAAAAAAAAATTGTTTGGAGTGTGTAACTATGTTGATTTTTTTTATTTGTTTGTTGCGTGATAATTTAATAATTGCTCCACACACACACACACACACATACTAGAAATTTTAAATGCTAAACCATCCACACAGCTTATCTGCTTATCTCCTGAGCCCCAGTTTGCATACATGCTCTCTGCAGGGATAGGTGCTGCTTCCCCACTAGAAACACACAATTGCTCCACACACAGACACACACACGCACGCACATGTAGGGTATACATATCCTTATGGGGACC